TCCCATCGCACTCGCTAAGGTGCTCACTTCCCAGATGGTGTTTACCACGCAGGCCCACTGAGAATGTTCTAGAAAGAAGGTGGAGCCAAGCAAGCGGAGAAGCAAGGTGGAGGGTGTGGGGGTGGCTGCTCTGGGGGGAGGAGAGGTGGGCGCCAAGGAGCCGCACCAAGGAGGCTTGGAGGGGTGTTCACCGTTGTCAGAGGGACCTGAGGGTTCCTCTCCTGCCGCCCTCTGCCCTCTGCACGTGCCCCCTGCGTCCCGGTGTCCCCTCTGGGGGACACTCCCGCCAGGACTTGAGGGGACGATGAGTGTAACATCGCACTGGCGCCCCACACTGGCACGCAGACGGCTCCTGCCTGGTCCACAGCACGCAGAGCCCGCCCCCACGCAGAAGCTGGGGCGGCCCGCCCAGCCACCGGCCGGAGCGGGCGCCCGCTCGCCCTCCCCCTGAGGGGCTGGGCGGGTGCTGGGAGGAGAGCCCGTGGGCCTGCTCTGCGCAGGCAGCACAGCCAGGACCACCGCCCGTCCCGCGGCCACAGGCTCGGGCTGGAGTGTTCTGGAGGCAGGGGAAGGCAGGCGAAGGCAGGCGCCTGACCTTGGCCGTGAAGGACGCTCTGTAAAAGCTCCCAGGGAGCCCGAGGCACTCAGCAAGGGCACGGCCTGCTGTCGAAGAAGGACGGGCGAGCTTGCCCTCTCCCTCCAGACTCCCAGAGGTCACGGCCACGGGCCGGGGGACACGCCGAGGAGCCGCCAGGGAAATGCCACGGCTGACTCTCCGAGGTGGTCCGTCCCTGGCCCCTGCCACAGCTCATCCTGGTCCTGGCCTGGGCCACGATGGCACAGCGAGAACCAGCTCTGCGACCTTCCTCTGGGGCAGCAGGCACAGGACGGCCCCGACGTGGCCACAGCCTGACGCGCAGGGCCCGTGACTATGTCACCTCACCGGCACACGGGGCTCAGCCAGTGTGTCAGGCTGTAGGCCTGAGGTGCAGGTTATCCTGGCTCTGCAGGCGGGCCTGTCTTAACACACAACCCCCAACCAGCCAAATCCTTAAAGGTGAGAGCGTCCCCGCCTCGGTCAGAGAGAGGAGCTCTGAGTGTGGAGGGAGCAGGAGCCAAGGAACCAGGCAGGAGAGACAAAGGCGCAGACCCCCCGCTCCATGTTCCCCAAGGAGAGATGGGGGCCGGTGGACGCCTTCATTTTAGCCCAGAGAGACCCCTGTCTTCGGACCAACAGAACTGTAAGGGGGTCTATCAGTGTGAGCTGTTTTAAGCCACCGCCGGTGGTGGTTCTAACCCTCTTGCTGTTGGCGCCCCCTAGTGGTCCGGAGATGCACGCTCAGACTTACCACCGCTTTTACCAGGTCCAGCCCCAATTGGGTTCTGTTGGGAATGCCCCCAGTTCGATGTCAGCCCGTCAGAGGCTAAACCTTCCCCATGTGCCCAGGACTTAGGTTTCCCGAACCCTAGGATTTTCCGTTTTAAAACCAGGAAAGTCCTGGGAAGACGAGGGTGTGCTGGTCTCCATCCCCCGACTCCCAGCTTAGACCCCATGGGGAGACCAGGAGAGCAATACGGAGGCCCGGCCTCCTGGGGCCTGGACAGAGGCCTGTAGAACCGCTACAGGATCCTGATTTGGGATCAGCAGGGAAGGGCATACTTTGCTCCTGGTGGGAGTTCACAAAACTGAAGATTTGTGATTTCTCCACTCTCGGAGCAACGGAGAGAGGAGGGTGGACGCAGGGTGGGGCGGGCGGGACAGAGAAACCACAGACAAGAAATCCTCCTCTTCTCTAAAAGTGTTCAATTTCAACTTTCTCTATTTGTTTGGAATTCTCTAGCTCTTTTGCAAAATTTTTTAGAAACACATGTAGCTTCCTGCCCTGGCCGGTTTGGCTCAGTGGATAGAGCATCGAACTGTGGATTCTGGGGGACAGGGGTGCAGGCTCGCCACTGCCCCTGGGAGAGGCTGATGTCCTGCCCGGATCGGACACCCCTGCCACGTCTGGAATCCCGATGGGAGTGCCCTCAGAGAGGGAGGGGAGGGTGGCCTGGCACTCCTCCTCCGTCTGACCGTCCTCCTCCTCCCCTGCCTGCCGGCTCCTCTCCGCTCAGCGCCCCCTCTGCCTCCTCAGCTCTGTGCCCACCCCTCCCAGGAGGAGCAGATGCGGGCACACAGGTGTGAGGACAGGCTCCCTGCACCATGGAGGGAGGAGGCCCGGGAGAGAGCCGGAGGCAGAGGGCGCCCTCCGGACTCTGGTAGCACCGGGTTCGAGTGCAGGGTGACTGCCCAGGTCAGGAGAGAAGGCTGTCGGGGCTGCTTGCAGGCCAGAGGCCAGCGACCCCAGCTGGGCCCTTCGCCGTGAGTGCGGGCACGGCTCCTCCACAGCCCTAACTTCTCTGCAGGCGGCGGGCCGCTCCCTGGACAGGAACCCCCAGCGGCCACCGGCCCGGCTCTCCCCTCCCCTAGCGGAGCCGGCGAGGACGGCGGCAACCGCGGAGCCAGGCCCAGGAGCAGGCTCACCGCGGAGGGGGAGGCAGGCCTCTCAAGCTTCCCCCTTTCCACTCCGCCGTCCCCACACCTGTGAGTGCCGTGTACGGACACCCTGCCGGCGCACCCTGTGACACACGGTCACACACCCTTCCTCTCCCTCCTCCCCTCACCCCCGTCAGCCCACGGAGGAAAAGGCACCCAAGTGCAGGAGGCCCGGGCGGAGAGAACAACGGGCATTCCTTCTTAAAGGAACAGCAGCTCGCACCCTGGGGTCACGTTCTAGCTGGACTGTGCTTGCAGAGCCGGCTGGCTGTTCAGGTGTCTGTCCCGGTGCTGTGGCCCGCGCTCCCCTCCCAACCCCCTCACCCCGGCGCCCTGTCCTCCTGCAGCCTCTGACCCGGCCTGGTGGTCCCTCCCTCCCTCTCTCCACACCGCCGACTCCCCACGGAAACACGCTGCCCGGGACCCAGCACCATCCCACCATCACTGCGGCGCGGTCTCGGCAGCGTGTCTGAGAGCTGTGCCTTGGTGGGAGTGCCGTTCTGGCCTTTCCAAAAAGCCTGTAACCCCATATATGACCCCACAGCGGACAGCACCTCCTCTCTCCGACCGTCATAATCATCAAAAAGCCTGTAACCCCGAATAGGGCCCCACGGCGGACAGCGCCTCCTCTCTTCGACCGTCGTAACCATCCGAGGACCAGGCGGCGGGTCTCCCGTGGCCCACGTAGCTGAACCCTGAACCAAACTGCTCTTCGCTCTGATCCCTGGTCCCCAGGTTCCTGGGGTTCGAGTAAGGTGACCAGATGTCCCGCTTTTGGCAGGACAGTCCCGATTTTTAACAGTTTGTCCTGCGTCCTAAAATAGGGACTTCTTTAAAACGCCATGGGATGCGGGACAAATTGTTAAAACTCGGGACTGTCCTGCCAAAAGGGGGACATCGGGTCACCTCAGGTTAGAGTCCACGTCCCCGTGGGCGGAGCCGAGCCACAGGAGTGCCCGCACGGCCACGCGGACTGGCCGGTCAGCCTCGCGGCCACGCGGACTGGCTGTTTATCCTCGCGGCCACGCGGACTGGCCGGTCAGCCTCGCGGCCACGCGGACTGGCTGTTTATCCTCGCGGCCACGCGGACTGGCCGGTCAGCCTCGCGGCCACGCGGACTGGCTGTTTATCCTCACGGCCACGCGGACTGGCCGTTCAGCCTCGCGGCCACGCGGACTGGCCCGTCAGCCTCGCGGACGCATTAGGCTGTCAAACGCCAGGGCCCCGCTTAATCCCCGCCTA